GAGTAAGGCCGCAAGGGAATGGCCCCTCCTTCAAGAAGAGAAAAGCCAGCTGTGAATCGGACGTTCTTTGCAGGAAGCAAAAACGTTTTGAAACTCAGCCTCGTGGACATTACAGTCTCTTAAGTTGGTATTTGAAGACTCTTGCGTTGTAAAATATTTCTTATCTGTGATTCTTGGCGGCCTCGCACAGTTTTGGGGAGGCTTGTGCTTATCAAAGTTAATTAGTTTGCAGCAGCCTTTTAACCGGGGATTCGTAAGAATCCTTAAAAGATTTCTGTTCCCTTTTGGTTCGTGTTTGTTTTTTTGGAAAAGGGTTTGGGTCAGAACAGAGTGAGGGAAGGTCTGAGGGGAAGTCCTGCCTCAGTGCTTGGCCACCACAGGTGCCCCCACATGAGGGACATCGAGCTGGTCATGCCCTCAATGCCCATAATGCCTACCGTGCCCGCCGAGGCCAAACACAACCCTGATGTGTCCCTCAGTTTGATGAAATCGAGTTCGATGCCCCTGTTCTACACCATACACAGTTAACAAACATGCCAAACTTCACCGTACCCATCTGATTCTTGTTAGGAAGGTAATAAGCGTTGAGGGCTTGAGGTGGTAACAGCCATCTGTAGATAGAAAACATGGTTATTAGTAACAGGATTGAAGGCTTGGACCCTTAAAACTGGTGTATTGGAAGTGACGGTCACAATGGGTGGTACTGACCCTTGCTGCAGTCCTTGCAAGGGTCAACCCAGCTTTGGGGTCCTGCAGAAGAGTCAGGATGATTACATCACCCAGAAAATCCCAAAGGTGCTTTTTTTTTTTCAAGAGGCAACTGGATTTTTTGTTTTTTTTTCTTTGAAGACACTTCGCTTCTCCTCCGCGAAGCTTCTTCAGCTCTGACTGGATGGAGGGGAATGGAAGGATTGATACACCTTGCAGAAAAGCTGGTCATTTGCATCGTTTTTAGAGGGTCATTGAGGCCACTTGGAAGTCGATCTGTGTCCTCAGGGTCACCTGAGGGGTGATAATGGTTCCTGCAGTCTTGCAATTTTTTTCCTCTGGAAATCCATTCCTTACTCCCACCCCATTCCAAGGGAGTTCATCCCAAATTGTACAGCTAAAAGTCTGCAGAGATTCTCAATCATGCAGATCAGGGTTGTCCCAAAGCCAACTGGACTTTCTAGTTTTTTTCTTTTGAAGACATTTCCCTTCTCATCCAAGAAGGTTCTTCAATTTTTTCTATTGAGGGGGTCCTTGGTGCTCTCTGAGCTGGCTTATTTTCTTGCAGACGTTTCATGACCTAACTAGCCTCTCTCTCTCTCTCTCTGCCTCTCTCTCTCTCTCTCTCTCTGTCTCTGTTTCTCTGTCTCTGTTTCTCTCTCTCTGTCTTTGT